CCCCCTTTTTTTTTTTTTTTTTTTTTTTTTTTTTTTTTTTTAGAGGTTTTTGCTGTAAGATGTGTGCTTTTGCCAGGATAGAGAGAGACAGAAAGCAAGAAATCACCCCCCCTACAGGGGGGATGGCCACACCACAATCCCTTCTCCTCCATTCTCCTCTCGGGATCTTGGGCATGCACGCATATGCACCTGGTGTGAGTTTAAGCCACCAGGTCCGGGACTCGAACTGTGGTTGACTACATGGGAGTCCAGCGACATAGCTGTTATGCCAACTGCTGGTCCCATTTCCCCCTAGTTTTCTGCTGTAGATTGCTACGTGGGTATGGGCATGTAGCAATCCCATCTTCTCCACTCTCCTCTCCCAGGAACCCTGGGTGTGCACACGCATGGGCCTGGTGTGTCTTCTAAGCTGCCGGGTCCAGGACTCAAACTGTAAAGCTGTCCATGTGGGGCCCAGCTGCTGTAACTGCCATGCCACAGCTGCCCCACAGCACAGCATGCAGTTGCAGGGCTCGTGAGTCCCTGACGCTGCTCCACAAACTCCCTAATGCCCAGGCTCGGATGGAAAACCCTTGCCCTGGGGCTGAGTGGGGTTCAGGGTTGCTTAGACCAGCCTAAGAAACAGACCGTGCCTGACAGAAAGCAGGCTACGCACAGGTGTGCATTTGAATTCAGTGAACACCCTGGCGCAGGCCTTCGGCCAGGCTGGCTGCTCTCTGGGAATTACTTCTCATTCTAACTTAGCTAACCTCTTCTGGAGCAGGCGTCGGACCTAGGACTACACATCAGCAGGTCCCTCGAATTAAGGCCGGCCAGCCCGCAAACGCACAGGCTTGGCGTGGACCTGTAAGGCCCGTCTGCGTTCCAAGACAGGCGTGCGCTGTGTCCGCAGAGCTGCAGGCATTGCGGAGGGGGAGGCTGGCGTGAGCTTCCTCGCCCTGACGGAGCCCACAGCGCACAGCCGACACGAGAGCTCAGGCAGCACCAGGGGCACGAGGTGCGTGTATTCTCCCTGTTCAATCTGCACAGCTCTCTGAAGAGGCAGGTCACGGCACACCCTAAGGGGAGAACACGGCAGCTCAGAGAGATATTATACAGCTGGTAGGCAGCATGGTGCGACAGCCTGGAGCCGTTCCTCCTCCGCCCGCGTGACCATCCTCCCCACGGGGCAGGGCGTGCCAGAACCAGGTGCTCATCACAGGTCATTCGGCTTTGGTCCTTACGTTTTACTGAGAAAACAACTACTGCAGATCGTCCACAGTCGGTACAGAACGGTGTCGCGTGCAGATCTGTGACTGCTGGCGACGGCGTCCAAAGTCTACTGTAAATAACAAAGTGATCGCACGGAACGGGAAGCCACCGGGCGGCGAGCACACGGGGCGCCGTTGTCCTCTCGCACACCCGGACTCCCACCAGGCCCTGCTTGCCCCTCCGTGATGACCCCCAGAACCCACGCCCTGTGCTGAGGATGAGGAAGGCCACGTGCTGGGCTCCACTGCGAGTCCTTTTCCCTGTTCACAACAGAGCACGCGTGTGAGAGAGAGCACCCTCCCCTGAGTCTGGTCAGCCTGCTCCCTCCCCTCCACCCGGTCTAGGGCACACATGTGTGCCCCGCGTGTTCGGGCTGTCTGGGGGGGATTCGAACTGCAGTCGCCATGTGGGACCAGCTTCTCAAGCAGTGCATCTCCACTGCGCCATGAGCAGGCTCAACTCTAGTCCTCCAAACGGGCTTCCAGAAGGCGGTCGGTCCTTCATGAAACCTTTACTTCTGGGACTGATGGATCTGGCAGAGGAGGAAGGGGTGTGTTTTCAGGAGGAGAAGGGTCCCCCCACCACGCCTCTGTGACATGGTGGCCCAGTCCTAGGACATGCCACAGAGGACTGGCCCACAGGCAGGGGTGTGGACCTCACACGGGTGCTGAGGAGCTCAGGTGCTTCAGAGCTCTGCGCTACATAGTAAGATGTTATTTTTAAAAATTATTTTATTTAGGGACCAGCAGTTAGTGTAATGGCTATGTCGCTGGACTCCCACGTAGTCAACCGCAGTTCAAGTCCCAGACCCGGTGGTTTAAACTCACGCTGGGCGCGTGTGTGTGCGTGCCCAAGATCCCGAGAGGAGAATGGAGGAGAAGGGATTGCGATGTGACCATCCCCCCTTGGGGAATGATTTCTCGCTTTCTATCTGTCTCTCTCTCTGTCTTTCTGGCGAGCGCACGAGCCCTATAGCAAAAATCTCTAAAAAAATTATTTTATTTATTCATTCATTCATTTTAATTTGAACAGAGCGAGACACAGAGAGAGAGAGGGAAAGTGAGAAAGCAAGATTTCTTGACTTTGCACACTCGCTGAGGTGAGAAGACAGAGGGTAAGCAAGAAAAGAGCGATCCGAGTGGTAAAATAATGTTTTATTCCATGGACGAACAAATGCTACCATGCTACAACCCCACTTCCCTGCAACCCAGTCTCATGGCCATCGCCGGCTCCCCTCGCAGGCCCAGGCGGCTTTGCAGCCAGGCAAGCCCGTCCGACAGCAGAGCGGGTTGTTAGCACTCATGGGTCCCGCCAGCTGACCCAGCCCACAAATGGTGATGCTTCACCTGAAAAAGCCCTCCCGTCAGCCTCTCTACAACTGACGTTCGAAACTCCTGTGGACGAAACCAAAACCCCCAACACCAAGAAGTGACACGAACACATCTGCTCCGTGACAGGTGTCGAGGACACGCCCAGCAGGACCCACAGCACTGACACTCGGAGTCAACGAGCTCAAGGAAATGACGGCGGTTGAGAGATGTCAAACGAGCACTTCGAGAGTCCGGGTTGGCCAGAGTGTCACATGCAAGCAGGACACGAGGGCAGTACTGGGGAGGCGGCGGGCGCTGCACGGGACCTCACGTCCATGCCTCTATGTACAACAAAATGGAACAGACGGGGCACGCCGGCGGCACGCCTGGTCGGCGTGGCTCTCACAGGCGAACACAGAGCCACGTCAGCCCCCTGCCCACAGCAGGTGTGACACCGCTGCACGGTCTCAGCCTCGGAGCCCGTGACCCGCGCGTACACAGCAGACCTGGGCGGAAACAGCCGGCTGTCTTGTGTGTTTTCTGGGCGAGTGTCATGAGACCAGACAACTTATCGAGGAGTAAAAGGATGGCTTGAGGACAAGTGTATGCAATGCTGCAGCGTCCCAGCGTGCTCAGTGCGGGAGGGCTTATTTATGCGATTTCTTTGCATGGACACGGTTGGGTGTTGCCCCCTCAGCGTGGCTGAACGTCTCCGCCAAGGCCGAGGACCGCCGTAAGGAGAAAGCAGGTACTTTTGATCTGTTTCTTGACCCAGTCAAGTGCAAAGTCTACACAGCGACGGGAGGAGGGAGGGCAAACCGAAGCCGAAAAGCAAAACGACAAAAACCAAAACACAAAAAGCACAGCAAAACAACCCCATGGCTGGAGACGCTGGAACGCGGGGTCAAACCATGGAAAACACGAACCCGTTCTCTAGGGGAACCGCGGAGCGGCCATCGCTGTACAGAGGCCGGCGTCTCGGGGTAGCCCCGTCGCCGCATCCCCTCCGGACCGGAGGAAGCTGGTGTGTCAACACACGCTGGGGACGCGATTGTGCTCTAGTGGCTGTTCCCGGGGTCCATTTCCACAGCACTGCGATCAGACAGGATGCCAGGCCACGCGGCTCACGTGCGCAGTGAGCTGACACGGAAGGCGGGGCTGGGGGGGCTGCGGGGG